CTCAGTGTTTGTTTGGTTTTGTCCATATAATGAGTCAGTGAGGTTCAAAGTTAATGTGCTGAACACATTGACCTTCATTAAATATAAAAAAACAGTTCTTCAGAATGTCTTCTTTGTGTTACACAGAAAAAATGGAATAAGAGTGAGTAAATGATGACAGAATTTTGTATTCTGGGTGAACTATCTCTTTAATCTGCCTTTTAACAGGCAGATGATTTTCCTATTCTTAAAAATCCACATAAATTCCCTAATGTTCCCTTCATGTTTTACAAACTCCCCAGATGCATACAATATATATTTTATCTATTCATTCAAATGAAACGCAGAGGAAATGCTCATCTCTAATACGTGCATGAGTCTGTGAGCTGTATAAACTGTTTTTGTACTCATAACAAAGGTAAGAGGCCAGGGGAGCGGACGGTAGATGCAGTGTAAAGGATGAGACTGAGGAGAGAGAGACAAAGATCCGTTCTAGAGACTGTTTGAGTGCCTTATTAAATATTTAGTCTGATTGTACACGGTCCTGTAATTGCCATCTTGGCTAGTGAATAATTGATGACGTGTAGGAGAGCAAAGGAGGGGCCCAGTCTCCCTCACTCTCTCTTGCGCGCACATCCACACCTTGCCTTTTTTTGTACACCTTTATTGTTAATATAATCCTGTCCTCATTAATTAAAACGATTCTGAATTTAGGACAAAGTCGGTAAAATTATATTATAACCTCTAGTTCGCTTCCGGAATGTTCTCTTTGCTATTATACAAAATAAATTCTTGGACTGCACTAAATTATTGCCAGAAATTCTATTACATGGCTTTAAAATAATTACACATGCCGTCAGCTACAACCAGGCCGTTCAGAGGGCTAGACAGAGCAAGCGCAGTCAAATGGTTGTGCTTTGATTCCACCTTTTCCGAGACAGTGAGTTAAATGGATGTCAGTCAGTGTGTTGAGAGAACCAAACATTGGGAATGGGACAAAAAGCAGCATGCAAATCTAATGCAGAGACTGTCTTAAGCGTCCCAAAGAAAGAGCATCTTTTCATAGAAAGCAATGAGTAGTCGCAGCAAACAGTGGCCGAGAATTGGAGCCATGGCAGCTTTTAAAAATACCTCATCTGAAATATTGATTTTTTTCTTCTTCTTCTTCTTGCCTAACGTAATAAGTGAGAGACTCCAGGGATGTGCGTATGTGTATGTGAGATGATGGGTGAGCAGACAGAGATGCTCTTTTTCACACATCACGTGAGGATTTTTGTGTGTGCATGTGTGTAAGACTGTTTCAACAAGATGTATTCTGAACTATAATTATAGTCACTTATTCTTGGAAAGTGTGTCTGCACTGTAAATTTTTTTTTTGAAGTTATAAATAAAACAGATTATTGTAGTATGCTTTACAAGAAAGCAAAATTTTGTTATTTCTACTTCAAAATTGTATGTTTAATTCTGTGTTACTTTCCGTTTCTTTGCAATTGTTTGTGAAAGTTACTAGCAGTTTCTGGGTCAAAACTGTTTCAAAGTAAATCCTATACCAAATGTTTTTCAGTGTGGAGAAAAAGTTATTTAAGGGGATATTTCACCTCCAAAACATTTACTCATCCCCTTGTCATTTCAAACTTGTTTGACTTTTTTTCTTCTGTGGAACACAAAAGAAGATATTTTGGAGAATTTTTGTTTTTGTTTTTTGTCCATACTGTATTGTGAAAGTCACTGGGTTCGAATGTCATTTTGGACCCCTATAACTTAAAACAGTTGAAACATTCTTCAAAATGACAGAAATTTAATTTTTTTGGATGAACTATCCTTTTAATATCCTTTTTTTAAATATATATTTTCAGATTTTTCTCCTGTGGCAATAATAATCTCCCACTTGTCTCCTCTAGAGTTTCTGAAAAGATCTCAACAATATCTCAAACTGTGCTCAGATTTGCTAAGACACCAAAGTCTGCAGTAAAAAGTTTGAAATCTCCATGTGAACTCGTCAAATTCTTCAGAGACCAGATTATCTGAGCTGTATACCCACAGTAATTTTATACCTCTATACTCATACTGTGTCTCATTTCATTAATGTGTTTTTATTTCTCCTATGGAATTTTAGGAGAGACAAAGTTGACACTTCACTGAAACATAAATGCAAAACCCATTAGGTGTCCTGAGCTTTAAAAGCGTAACAATTTTCTTCTGGGACTTCTAATTGCAGAATAATTTTGCTCAGATTTTACACTTTGCTCTTTTTTTATTCACAAGTTCTCAGGTTTTGTCCATCAGAGCAACTAAAATATACCAAACATACCATTTGTTCACCAGCATCACCCATAAAACAACACAAACTCCCTTTCTGCATGTATTGAAGACTTGTAAATAGCCAGGTGTTCTCACACAGCTACTGTCAATTCTCAGAGCTACAGATGAGAGGCCCTGGCCTTCACAGCCTGATGCCTACTCGACCAGCCCTTCTGGTCTCTTTTCGGCCCTAGAGCCCCTTCCTCGCCTGTTCCTCGAGTTAGAGATAGACGGATGGAGAGAGAGAAGTGGAGAGGGTGCTGTAGACCAGCAATAATTCCTGACTCGGAGTTGGAGGCACATTATGAACTGACAGGGCCACACATCCCTCTGTAATTGATTGCTGGCCAGCGTAATGAGGTGACGGCTTACAACAGAGATGCCAACTCCCTCATTATCTTTACCCACTTTTTTAAGAGCAGAAAGAGAGTGAGGCAGCAAAAGACAGAAAGAGAGACAGAGAGAAGAATGGAGAAAAAGAAATGCTGAGACTAATAACCGAGCCCTGGCTCTAGGTTATTAATTATTTATGTTGTTTTAATAAGTTTTAGATGGGGAGGGAGAGGTTCAGCGTGAGAGTTAGTCTTTCCCTTCTCTCTCAGTCTTTCTCTGTCCACACCTCAATTTCGCCTGTTCTGTCATTCTGTCTTTTCCTATACCCGTCTGTCCATTTCATACTGGGGTCTTTGTATCACAGGTACAATATCAGTCATTGCAAAGGCCTCGAGGGGACTTCAGGATGACATGTATCCACACTTGGAAATGAAAACGCTCTGTATTTCTGAAAGTGACAATGATATGATACGATTATTGTATATGCGATTCTTTTTTTTTGTTGCTTTCATTCTGTCATTCTGTGCTAATTAGCAAGGATAATGTCTTTTAATTATTTATTTTCAATAGTCCAATGGCCGCTCTAATGCTGATATGCCTTATGCCTGTATAATAGAATTTCTCAAATATAATTATAAATATACATAAACATAAATATACCATATATTTTTTGTATATAATTGTAATATTTACTCAGCACAATGACATTTATTTTTATCGTTGCAATATATTTGAGAATTGCAGCATCTATAGGGTGAGCATAGAAAAATTGCCCCATAAACATGCATTTCTGTGCATTTCTTGATTTTAGTCTAAATATTTTATGTGGTTATGAACAGCAGTCAAACTTGCTGTTGATACAGCTTAAATTGCATTTAACCCAGAATATTCCTTTTAAGTCTGCTGGTTACACTGGACTCCTTCAGAATCTGCCCTGCTCGTGTCTTTCCACACGCCCCCATTTTCCTGTCTGAGATCCCCATTCCACCCCGAGCCTTGTCATCTAAAAGCAGCACTTCCCCTCTCATCCCGCACACTTCCAAACACTGGGCTGGTCCTGCCCCGATCCGAAGGGAGCCAACCTGCTTTGAAGTGTTGCCGCTTTTCCAGAATGAGACCTGGAATCTCACATTCCCTGTCAACTCCTGCCCAGTGGCAGATGGAGAAGTCTAGACCTACGAGACTCTCTCCAGTCACATGCTTCTTTCTCCCCCTCCATGCCCTCATCTCTCTCTCTCTCTCTCTCTCTCCCTCTCTTCTCTTCTGTGTTTCACCACTCTGTTCCAGAACCACCAAAGCGGGACGGGTTTGAGCCCACGATTCAGGCAGGATTCTCTACTTTCAGATGGTGACTGGGGCGGTGTATAAACACAGTACTCCTCTAATATCTGAGAAGAGCTTCACTTACAGCCCTTGTCTCCTGCTGTGTTTTAATTCAATCCTTATTGATCCATATCTCTCCTTCCAAGGACTCCAATATCATATGAATGGAGCTCAGGGATGGGTTCCCCATATTATTGTATTCCATGGCCATAAAGGGCATTAGCAGCCAACAGAGCAACCCAGATCAAGTATCAGTCGATACCAGCTAAAGAGAGCAGGCTTTCTCCCTTTCTCTCCATCTTTCTTGCCGGATTTCTCTCTTTCCTATCTATCTCTCCGTAAGAGCGCTGATGGGGTTAAAGTATGTATGGTGATTATGTCATGCGGTAAAGTGAGGTTCTAAAAATCGCTTGAGTTAGCACCGTGTGTTTTTAAAGATATTGTTACTGTCTTATTAGGGAGAAATCAATGGCGTCTGCAGATGCCGGCCATTTATATAGCAGACAGGGCTTCTCTCGCCGCTTTTTCTCCCAGCATTCTTCTCTCCGTGTGCTCCGTGGGGCGGCAGCGGCGGAGGTTATCCTGTGGTTAATGTGACATGGCTGTCTGCGACCTTGCTGGTTGTTAACTGCCCGGATTATTATTGTGATAATGTGGCAATTAAAAGGAAAGCACTCCATCAAAATAGTGGGGCTTATGGTCCTGGAGATGAATGCATAGAGATTGCCAGCCAGGGGAAATGCATTAAAACTGCAATCCATTTCATACTGGAGCCCGCCTCCAGCAGCGGAGGCTATTACGGCTCATCTTCATTGATATCCATTCCCGATCAATAGCGCCAGGCTGAGGTAAAAATACGAGTAAATCAACAAATCTAGAGTTGGTCTTCATTATAAAGGAAGAAAAATCAAACTTCAACTCTAATTGCATATTATACGTCTACACAGAGTGTCTTCAAAAGTGGGCTAAATCACTCATTGGCGGCTGTTTATATATGGATGCTGTCCTTGAGTGTTTTCGTTGTGTTCGAGTCGCTTAAAAGTGTTTCTGTCTTTCTTTTGCAGATTTTTCCTGAAATTCTTTCTCAAGTGTAATCAGAACTGTTTGAAAAATGCAGGGAATCCCAGAGACATGAGGCGATTTCAGGTGAGAATACACATGAACAGACAAAAATTTTTATTTTACATGCACACAAACAGGTTGTAAAAACGCTTTGGTGTCTCCATAGGTGGTGGTGTCCACCACAGTGAATGTGGACGGCCATGTCCTGGCCGTGTCCGATAACATGTTCGTCCACAACAACTCCAAACATGGGCGGAGGGCACGACGCCTGGACCCTTCTGAAGGTAAGATGTGAACTTCACTAAAATATGCACATTTTGCTTCCTGTGATGTTATTTGTGACCCTGGACCACAAAACCAGTCTTAATGGGTATATTTGTAGCAATAGCCAACAATACATTGTATGGGTCAAAATTATCGATTTTTCTTTTATGCCAAAAATCATTGGGATATTAAGTAAAGATCATGCTCCATGAAGATAGTTTGTAAATTTCCTACCGTAAATATATCAAAACTTAATTTGTGATTAGTAATATACATTGCTAAGGACTTAATTTGGACAACTTTAAAGGCGATTTTCTCAATATTTAGATTTTTTTGCTCCCTCAGATTCCAGATTTTCAGATAGTTGTATCTCAGACAAATATTGTCCTATCCTAACAAACCGTACATCAATGGAAAGTTATTTATTCAGTTTCAGCATTCAGTTGATGTATAAATCTCAATTTCGAAAATTTGACCCTTATGACTGGTTTTGTGGTCCAGGGTCACATTTATGTTAAATCCATCAAATAATATTACTGTGTCTTATATACACTTCTGTTCAAAAGTTTGGGGTTAGTAAGATGTTTTTAGGAAATTGATACTTTTATTCAGCAAGGATTCATTAAAATGATCAAAAGTAACAGCAAAGAGATTATAGTGATTTCTATTTCAAATAAATGCTTTTTAAACTTTGCTTATCAAAGAATCCACGGTGTATAATGGTTTCTCCAAAAAAAATAAGCAACACAGCTCTTTTTAACATAAGATGAGCAGCAATATTAGAATGATTTCTGAAGGATCATGTGACACTGAAGACTGGAGCAATGATGCTGAAAATTCAGCTTTGCTAACAGAATTTAAAAAAAAATATATATATATATATATTAAAATAGAAAATGGTTATTTTGAATTGTAATAATGTTTTAAAATATCACTATTTTTACTGTGTTTTTGATTAAATAATTGCAGCCTTGGTGAGCATTTTTACTTGTTTTGAATGCATCAGAAAATTGTACCGAACCCAGATGTTTGAATGCGAGTATAAGTTTGACATTCAAAACGTATTTATTATAATGAAGAAAAAGTCCAAACTTGTTAGTGCTACTTTCTACTTCCTCACCTAGTTCTCAGAGTACAGGTAACCTCACATCTGACTATCTGAAGGGGCTGCATTGGGTAATGTCGCTTTGATATGAAATGCTGAAAGTGTGCGTAGAGATTCACCTCCCAGCTGAACTCAGGACAGTCCCTGTATGTGGGAAATTGTGTTATTAGCTCTGTGACTGTTTTGTGTGAAAACCATCACTGTGGAATCACCGGCACTCCTGTGTCCCAATCGAGGAAAAGGAAAGTCGCTGCTCTACTTTTAGTAAGACTCTTCTGTAATTCTCCAAAGACCAACACATGAAGAGGAAGTCACTGATGGCAGTGCATTGTGGGAGATGGGCAGGCTTTCATCTTGAACGCACTAGAATACGCATGCAGATATTGTAAAAGAGAACAGCTGTTCCATTACACCCCAACAGGTGAATGCAAATCACGCCCAATGCTTGTTTACTTTCATCTATTCACAGGTATCAACATTTCCAGAGATGTTCACTTGTGCAACAAAGAGAACTTTCAAAAGCAATCAGAAGTGATTTAAAGTCAAAAGGTTGGGAACTTTGCATTCCCATGTTGATGTTGAAGGAAAGTGGCCGCTGGTGTACAGCACTATATGCAGTAATGTGGTCTGAAGTTGCACCAAGAGCCCCTCAGTTTGCCTGTTAGCTCACCGAGCTGCGACCAATCAATTCCTGTCCATAGCCAGTGGAGACTGGGCCAGTCGTTCAGTCAGCCTGTCTGTCTCCATACCGCCGGCTCAAAGACGGATTTACGATAAAAGACCAAAAAAAAACTTAATGGTTTTATTGAGCTGAGTGATGCACAGACACCAAAGAAAAAAAAATCAAATGAGCTTTTACAGCCATCAGACTTCCTGTTTTTCATTTTTTTTCATTTGCATTTGGAGAGTAGAGTAAAACACTGGTAAATGCCAATTAGTTTAATGATAACATTTCTCAAAAGTTGTGTGAACGTTGACACTGACCCGCTCTAAATCTGTGCTTGTGTTGTGATCTTGTTTTCCGAAGCAGCCACTCCATGCATTAAGGCCATCAGTCCCAGTGAAGGATGGACGACTGGGGGGGCCACCGTCATCATCATTGGGGACAACTTCTTTGACGGTTTACAAGTGGTCTTCGGCACAATGCTAGTTTGGAGTGAAGTAGGTTTTTAAAGAATATTTTGTATTATTATTATTATTATATTTTATATAATTATATTTTAATTATATTATATATATATATTTTTTATTATATTATTATTTTTATTTTAAATAGCCAATTTATTTTACTAATATAAACGCAATTAGTAATATAAAAAAATATATATTTTAAATATTATCCTTAAAATATATTACTTTTTTTTACCAAACCTTTCATACTTTTCTTTTCTTTTCTTTTCTTTTCTTTTCTTTTCTAAAAGCCAAATTATTTTACTAATAAAATCGTTAAAAATAATAATTGTTTAAATATTTATTATTTTTGAAATATTTCTTCAAAAGAATACAGTGCCATCTCTTTGTTTTGGATAAATCGAATGAGTTCAAATAACTTGAAAGCTCTGTAATTTAATGTTACCAAACAAAAAAAATTGAGACATTTTTAGAGACAAACAAGACATCATAACATAACAGATCCTATTACAGTATATGGCTAAATCTATAAAAATCTATAATAAATCTATAACTGTGTCCTTTGAGTAATGAATCACTCTTTAGCTTCAGCATTAACTGTGTTTACATTGGAGACAGTGCTTGTGTATTGAGTGCTGACCACTGAACGTGTGCTCTGATGGCTTCTAGCTCATCACACCTCACGCTATCCGGGTGCAGACGCCCCCTAGACACATCCCTGGGGTCGTGGAGGTCACACTCTCCTACAAGTCCAAGCAGTTCTGCAAAGGAGCTCCGGGACGTTTCGTCTACACAGGTATACAACACTTTGCAACTGCCTGGAGCCCTTGCCACCATCACCAGCATCAGAATATATTTCTGTCATCTTTCTCAGAGGTCGATCTTTGCATGTCTTCTTTGTCCATTTTATCAAATGCCTGCCTTTGTTATCTTAAAATAGTATTTGCAGTCCATAAAGACGCTTTCCCAAGATGGCATACTGTTAGCAGGTCATTTCTGACTCCACACTAGCGGTCGTGTCTTTTGGCTGATGTCTGTTCTCCTGTGTCCAATGGGCAGGACGAGTATCATTTAGTCAAATCGTTGCTTTTCATACACCGATTATTCCATCAGAATAATCCAGATGCCAGTCAAAGTAGGCGAAAGGTCAGATCTAGGACTGTTTGGTGTGATAAGAAAATGTCACAGCGACGGTCATAAAAGAGAAAGAAAAAGAGGCCCGTGTTCAGGCTTTCTGTTATACATCAGCTTTATCTCAGTGTGTTTCCCTCATTCTTTGTTCAAAGCACCTCTCATTCAGATGCATTTGCCATGTAAGCAGCAAAAAGAGACAACTTTACAATGGACAGGACGGCCCTGTCTTACCTTCGACCGTTCCTTTGCAATGCTAATGTCTGCTCGGACCGACAAGATGATTTGACTGACAGCTGTACGCCACGTCGCTTTTATGAATCCTGCATTGTGAATAGCTTGAATTTTTCTTAAAGTTCAAAAGAATATTCTCAGCGCGAAGGAAGCGTGTTGCAAATTGTAAGGATGAATGAAACAGGACCTGTAGAATATCTCTGAATCAGAATGCAGAGACAAAAGTGAATGAAAGGTCATAGAAGATAGAGGACAAAGAGAATATATTCATATAAAATTGTTTATATTTTATATTTACTTTATCTTTATTATTAAATATGTAATATAAAATGAATACATGTATATATATATATATATATATTTTTTTTTTTTTAATATAGCAGTTCCTATAAGGATACAGTTTGGAGACTGTATGCCAACTCTTTCTGTTTCTCAAAATCATTTTCATTGTACGCTACAAATTAGATTCACGCATTCATATTTTAGTTTGTGGATTCACTGTCGTATATCCAGCAACTTATTTACTGTGCCAGAGATGTGTGATATTCATGAATGTGAAATGAAGCGGGCTTTTAAATACTGAATAGGCCGACTGCGAATAATTGAAGAGGAATGAGAGTGCATCTAACCTCAGTGATGTCTTTTCCACCAGAGACTTCCCATAAGCCCCAGTGAGCTCAACTTTACACTGCATTCCAGCTCGAAAAAAAAAAGTTCACTCCTTATCGTCAGACACTTCCAGATGAACACAAGCCAGTTTGAATATTTTGAAAGAGATACATTTAGGTCATCAGAAATTAAGCGTTCAGGCCGTAGGGAATGGGAGGGGGATATGTACATTGGCGAAGGAAACTGGCATCTCTGTGCAGACACAAATTATTTTTATCATATTCCTTTTATCTGCCTTTCATTAGCAGTAATGGACCCCAGAAATGCATCAAAGACGGTCAATGTGCCCATTCCACTGATTATAGGTTGACTGTCTTATCTGTGCTGGTGTGGAAAGCCAGAGCAGCAGTGTTCAAAGCATGTCTTCTCCGATATCACTGCCGTTAACACTGCCATCACAGGAAGTGATCTCACAGTCTTCAAACTGAAGCATCTGGGGCTGTTAGAGGAATATTTCTTCAAGGTTTAGTAAAATTCAGAATTCAATTAAATTTTTCAGTTAATATTTTGTTGCATGGAATTTTTATTTAACAACAGTTACCCTTGCACACCTCGATAGGTGCGTAGGAAAAATGAACAAAAAACAGGTCCAACTTCAAAACAAAAAAGAATTGATCCCGCACACTATCTGCACTTGCAAATGTATCAAAATATAAATTGATTCACTCACAACGTTTCAGTCCATGACATGAAGGCCTGATAAAGGTTATGGATTGAAACGTTGTGAGTGAATAAATGTATTCGTTTTTGTTTTGATGGAAGTTTTTAATTTAAATTTTAATTGATTATGCCCTACACAATGTTATATTGGAATTTGAATTGTAATGAGAGGAAAAGGAATTTACTTTCCAATTAATAGACATTCAAAAAAATCCATACAATTTTAATAAAAAAAAATTTATTAAAATTTTTTTAATGAAAAAATAAATGATATATTTACTATGATTATATATTGATTATATTAAAATAAAAAATATTAACTATAAAATTAAATAATGTACAGCTTTATAATTTCATATGTAAAGGCATATTTTTATATTATATATTTTTATGTTTTGTGATTTAATCATTTATTGCAGTTTATTTAAATTTCAATTCTGCATCTTGTTTGCTATTTTTATTCAAATTCAATTGAAATTATGATATTGAATTGTAAATTAAAAAGACTAAATATCACAGAAGTCTGCTCTGCACCTGCTGGCTGTGGCTTTTACCATTCCTAGCACTACAGGGAAATGTCAAAGACTGGCTCTGTCCAAATTCCCTGAAAACATTTCACATGTGGCATGGGCTAGTTAGGACATCTTGTTAGATTTGCAGAATGTTAAGTCCATTCTCGCTTTCAGTGTTGCAGCTGGTACCTGATAACTATTACGGCTCTGTTGCTTTCTCACATTTTCTCTCCCGCACTCCCTTTGGAGAGATCTTCACTCTTATTCTGTTAGTTCTCCCTTCTGCCTGCATGCATCATTAAGTCCTTCAGTCCACCAACTCTTGTCTCTTTCTCTCTCTCTCTCTGTCTCTCAGGGGGTTAAGACTCCCCAGGTGTTGGGTTAGAGGAAGGAGGGTGAGATGAGTGTGAAGAGCCTAAGGGTATTGACTTTCCTGGGAAAACACAGCTCTCTAAAATCAGTAGCCAAATACTGCAATAACTCAACAGCCATTGATCCTCTTTCCCCTACGGCCACATTGATCTATACATTACAAGCTCTGAGACTGGCGGCATGGATCCAGCCTACGCTAACACAACCCTCCCAATCGCCTGTAACTTACTGCCTCTGTCATTATAATCATAATAATAATACATGTGACCAGAAGTAATGTATTCAGTATGATACAGCCGAACGCCAGCAAACCGTGCCTCTGGTTTGCAAGCATTCGAGCTGTATTTGGGGCATCAAAAGTCAGCATTTTACTTGGCCTTTTGGGTATAGTGTTTTGTTTGATTGCCTCAGTCAAGAAGATCCAGCAGAAATAAAACTTGTTTCTGAAACATCCTCTCCACTTCCTGAAAGGGGAGGGCTTATATTCCCTTAGCGGTGCTGCATGCATTCCAAGCAATTGCACAATATCCTAGAAACAGAGGCTGAGAGGATACTGGAGGTGCGGGACTGTTAATATGAAGAGCATTGCTCTCCTGGGCACCAATGTGCCTGTCAGAACATGCCTGATGCCTTCCAGGCTGACAGCCTTTGGCATTGCAAACAAGAGCTGTAGCATCTTTGCTGGGTGAGACCTTTTGTTTAAAAGGCTCAGGGTTGCTTAAATAGGGTGCTGGGTTACAAAATGGGCAGGGGCAGGGTGAGCATCCTCCCCGACCACCTGCTCAACCCATTTCCAGTACTGCATTTTGGTTTGTTTAAGCATAAATTGTAGAAAAGGGGTTGTTTTGTGATGCTAATGGCTGTCATAGGGTTGTCGACTAGGCTGGCGCAGTCCCAAAGGTTTAGGAAGGTAGGGTGTATATGTTTTTGGTGGCTCTAAGCGCACATGTGTATAGATTATACAATTGCCAGAAGCTAATGTACTATGAAACTTTTCAGAGCTTACTTCAGATTATATTGAGTTACTGTTAAAGGTACTGTATAGTTTACCCAAAAATGAAAATGTAGGCCCTACTCAAAAATGATCTCTGTAGACACAAAAACAAAGAATTTTGGGTAATATAAACACATTTTGATTAGTGTTGTCAAACGATTAATCGTGATTAATCACATTCAAAATAAAAGTTTTTGTTTACATAATATATGTGTGTGTGTACTGTGTATATTTATTATGTATATATGAATACACACACATACAGTATATATATTTCGAAAATATTTACAGGTATTTACATGTATATATTTATATTCATATAATAAATATATAAATGTATTTAATATATAAACAAATTTTTTCTTAAATATATATGCATGTGTGTGTATTTATATTTAAATAACAAATATACTGTACACAGTACACACACATATTATGTAAACAAAAACTTTTATTTTGGATGTGATTAATCACGATTAATCATTTGACAGCACAAATTTTTATCTTATAAACTGATTGTTTCCATTTATTTTAATGACTTTTAAAGTAACACTTTTGGTCAAAAACTGAAAATTGTATTTTGTGTCATTTTCGGTGCATGGCCACAATTTTGGTTCATCCCTAATATTTGCATTTATTTCTTCTTGCATTCCTACCATGTCCATGTTTTTGCATCCCTACCAAAGCAAGTCAATCGGATGCAGTGTTGTTGTTTTTGACCCCATTGATTTTCATGTACAGACAAAAACAGTTCAAACATTCTTCAGAATATCTTTAGGTTCATAACAATGTGAGGAAGGGACTAAGAGACTTCAGGAAATGCAGGAACGTAAGGCTGGAACAGATGTCGGGAATCATTGTAAGGGTGGGATTGGATGTCAAAGCCATACAACAAAGATTTTCTCAATCTAGCTATGTAATTGCTGCAGCCTGAGGCCCGGGGAGTTGATTGGAAAACCACGGAGTACCCAGCTGGTATGCAACTTAAAATCATGGGCTGGTCTTGGAACCTGCTCGCTGTGTTCTCACATCAGCCAGAGGTTCTGGCGCCATCCACTACATAAGCTCTTTAAAACTGGCACTAAAGCTTAATGGCACAGGCTCTGTGGATGTGGTGGCTGATGTTTCTCAAAGACCGCTCCCATAGTCGGAGCTCGGAGAGGGACCAGGAGCAGTGCACTTGTTGCCCAGGCCGTGGAACAATGGGCCACTTTGTTACCTTTT